TAAAGACAATTTAAGGAGCAGTTATTATTTCTGTGTAAACTTGAAGGAGAATATTTTAATTACAAACTATTTCATTTAGAACAGTTCATTCGGGATTAAAACAAAAAACAAAACAAAAAACATCACATGAACGTTTCTTCTATAAAAGAATGTGATGGTTTTTGTTTCAGGTCCAGGAGTTGGTGGCCACAGACGACTTCAAACCAAACTCTGCCATGGTGGTGCTCGACTTTCTCCTCCGACATTCTTTCATCCACCCAGACTCAGGTTTTTATTCTGTTTTTATTTCTGTTTTTAAAGAGTCATAATTCAGCTTTTTCAAATCTGTGTTCTAATGTTTCCTCATCACAAACAGACGTCGTTAGTCGTTTCGTCCTCATGAAGACCGTCTCGGTGGTCGAAGCGCGTCGTCGTACTTTTAATATCTTCAGTCGGTGTCTCAGGTTTATACTTCGCCCATTTTTTCATTTTCCAGTGAGAGCAACATTCAAGTTTAACCCTCGTAGAGAACATGTACCTTTAAACTCTGTGATGACCTAATGAAGCTCAGTCTGGTCCATCAAAACATGGTAAAAAAAATAATAATATTCAGATCATCTCGATTAGAACCTGTTTTAGGTTTTAGCTCCAAAAGATTATTTAGGAAGAAATGTGGAAGAAAAGGAAATGTTTTAGAGGAGCTCAAGCTGCAGGACGTTTCCTGGAAATTGACTGATTTTGTGTAAAACTTTTGTGCAAACTTTTTATGGACTTTTTGGACTTTTAAGCAACTTTTATGAACTTTCTAAGTCATTTTTATGTACGTTTCAGTTTGTGTTTGCAAAATAAAATGATAAATTATTCAAATAGGTCTGATTTATTTGGTTCTGTCTTGTACTTTAAGCTGTATGGACATTTTCAAGTGTCTTGAGCAACTTCTAAATATTCATAAATTTGCATAAAATTTGGACCCAAATATTTTGGCCAGAGATGGAACCAATGCAGGGAGAGAATCTAAAAAAAAACCACATTGTTTGGACCACCCTCGTGAAACGCTCTGCCTTTTCTCTTCATCTTCTACCTGGAGTGAACTCGTGTTAAATGTGCAGGTTTGTGTGAACGAAACAAACACAACTCCAGGTCTGTTTGTGACGAGGAAACAACATTAGAACAGAGATTTCAAAACAGGGTAATCTGAGCTCTTTAAACTGATCCTGTACTTTGATCTTTTCAGGTAAATTGTATTTTTCATTTATTTTTCAGAACCGTTTTATCAGGAGTTTGTGTCGGGGCTGCACCATCAGCTGTAGGAGCCAGAGGACTGACCGACGCTGCGCCATTTTACATTATAACTGTAAAATAATAGATTTTAAAATTTACTGTAACAATAAGAACAAAACATGAAGTAAACTCCAGTTTTATTCTAGCTCCCTGAACATGTTGGAAAACTGGCAAACAGCTAAAGCACTTTCCTCCTGACGCCTTATTTTTGGATTTATTTTGGATTTAAATTGAAACGCCCCCTAGTGTTCTTATGTTTACTTGTCCTCTACAAGTGTTTGTAAGTTTATGTTATATAATATAATATAATATATGTTTTACTTGTGATGAAGTTTGAGAAACTGGTGCATAAAAGTGTTATATACTATAATCAGTGTTGGGAAGTTTACTTTTAAAATGTAATCCCCTACAGATTACAGATTACACACACCAAAATGTAGTTTGTAACAGAATCCATTAAATTACTTAAGGTGAGTAATGTAATCTGATTACTTTGGATTACTTGATTTGCTGTAGTGAAAACAAAGACGAGGAAATCTTCACATAAGAAGTTTAGTCTGATAAAAGAAAATAAAAAACCCAGACTTTACTGAACCAAATAAAAAATATTATTGATAAAAGACGAGGAGACGCGTCCACACAGCAGGATTTAGTCCTGTTAAATCCTGTTTTAGTCCTGGTTTAGATCTGGTTGAGACCTGGTTTTTGTCCTGGGTTCAGTCCTGGTTCAATCCTGAATTATTCCTGGTTTAGACTTGGTTAAAAAAAAAAGGGATTTAGCCCAAAATGTGAAAACAGTAAAATCCTGCCGTGTAATCTCATTTATTTCAACAAAGTAACTGTAATCCAATTACCTCTCATGGAAACAGTAACTGTAACTGAATACAGTTACTCATAATTTGTACTCTGATTACGTAACTCTGGTGCATGTAATCTGTTACTCCACAACAGCGACTATAATATATCAAACAATACTAAAGGAATTCACCAAGACATTATCTTTGAACTTCTATGTAAGGATAAAAAACACTTGAACTATTTTTGAATGTTATAATTATACTTGGAATTTTTTTCATCCACAAAAACTTTTTTAACATTTATCAAAGAGCTGAAACACTTTTTTTTTTTTTTCACCGTTATGGACCGCAAGAGCTCGCGTCACATTTATTTTATTTTATTAATTTTTACATTGTTCCTGCCTGATTTCTCATTTGTCGTTTAATGTCGCCAATTTGTTTGTATCATATAATTTTGCGTCTAAAAATAAAAAAATAACAATAAAAACAAATCTTTCGTCGTGGCTCTTTTTTTTTTTTTTTTTTTTCACATACACCGGAAGTGTGGAATGAGCACCGCCCCCCTGTGATCCGCCTTGAACCAATCAGCGGCGTCGGCGTGGTAAAGCGTGCTCTCCCATTGGCCGTTTTAAACCGCCGGAAACGAGAGGAGAACCCATTTGAACGACAACAGCGCGAGGGAGCAGTGCGCGCACGGACCTGAGTTTTGGTGAGTCCTGCGGTTTTAAAAAAGCTTCACCTGGACAAAAAACTAACTCTACGAACTCTACAAACTGTACGCGTCCTCCACTGCGATCTGCAACCGCCAGTTCACTTTCAGTTTCGTGTTTTTTCGCAGAATGTGTGGATAATCGGCGGTGACTCGGTGCGTCTGGACTAACGCTCGGTTTCCTTCCGCGCCTCTCAACTTTTTCTGTTTATTCTTGCAAAAAAAAAAACCCAAAGACAATGGACCAAACGGAGCTGGACACGTCGGACCGGTACGTGTTCGACGCCCCGAGCGAAGTGGTGGACCTGGCCGAGTTACACAACGCTCCGCCCGACGACACCTGGTTCGGTAAGACTCGAGTGCGCGGATCAAAAGGGGGGGACCAGACCAGACGCACCTACTGACCTGGTGTACCGGGACAGGCCCAGGTCTGAGCCCCGTGTGTCTCTGTGCCACTAGATTTATACAAAACCACTGATTTGTCCAAGTTTTATACAAGAAATGTCCCAGTGTCTGGGCTAAACCAGGACTAGTTCGGGTCTAAACTAGGACTAGTTCGGGTCTAAACCAGGACTAGTTCGGGTCTAAACCAGGACTATAGTTCGGGTCTAAACCAGGACTAGTTCGGGTCTAAACCAGGACTAGTTCGGGTCTAAACCAGGACTAGTTCGGGTCTAAACCAGGACTAGTTCGGGTCTAAACCAGAGGAGCATAAATTGTGTTATGTTTTTTGTTTTTTTTAGTCTCAGATTAAACTCTGATCCTCTCGTGAGTCGAGGATGGACGGAGCTACACTTTTTTCACTATTTTATTTAAACTAACCGTCCAAACCCGAGTCTGTCCCAGTGTTTCATTTGGAAAATCTGGTCCCTCTAATGTCCGAGTGTCTGTGGTCCTGACTGGATGATCATCCACTTGTTCATCCTCGACTCACGACAGGGTCAGAGTAAAATCTGAGACTAAACACAGAAGCTCAGGCTGATGGATTTGGGCAAAAACAAAACAAAAAAAACACACAATTTATGCTCCTCTGGTTTAGACCTGAAATAGTCCTGGTTTAGACCTGAAATAGTCCTAGTTTAGACCTGAAATAGTCCTGGTTTAGTCTTGGTTTAGATCTGAAATAGACCTGATATAGTCCTAGTTTACCCCAAGTTTACACCCAAAATGGTCCTGGGTTTAGACCCCGACATGGTCCTGGGTTTAGTTTTTTAGTCGTTTTTTTTCTGTCGCAGCCTTCAGTCCGGGAGGGTTTTTGTTTTATCCTGAGCAGCAGTTTGTTTGTTGAATCCTGTGAGTGGGAGAGTGAACCCAAACTCCACTCATCCCTGAAACTGTGAAATCACACCCTTTAATGTTGTTTTTGTGTGAATATTTCTGTGCTGCAGCAGAGGAAACTGTAAACATCCACATGAACCCGACCACAGCAGCCCGGCTGGAGGGGGATGCTGCAGATGTCTCCAGCTTTTGTGTTGTTCTCAGTGTTTTAGAGGAAACTTTGGACACGTATTTAGCTCCAGAACACTGAATACCTGCAGTAAAATGTATTTTGTAATGTCCCACGGTCATGGAAATCCTGGAAAAGTCATGGAATTTTAGTCTCTCTTTCAGGTCTAAACCAGGACTTTTTCAGATCTATTTCAGGTCTAAACCAAGCCTAAACTAGGACTAAACCCAGGACTGTATTTCGGGCCTTAACCCCGGATTGTATTTCGGGCCTAAACCCAGGACTATATTTCAGGTCTGAACCAGCACAATCGGGTCTAAACTAGGACTAAACCAGGTCTAAACTAGATCCAGAACACTGAATACCTGCAGTAAAATGTATTTTGTAATGTCCCACGGTCATGGAAATCCTGGAAAAGTCATGGAATTTTAGTCTTTCCCGCAGCTCCAGTGTTCTGTTCAGTTCTCATGAGAATGTTCTGATTATTTCTGAACGTAAGTGTTTAAAAGAGACGACAATAAATGCACTGACAGGATTTAAAATGTTCAAAAACTATAATCCCAAACCATAAAGTGAGTGGAAAGAGTCACTCAGATTTAGACCTAAAAGTCTGATCAGTTCTACACATGTAGGTGCTGGAAAGTCATGCAGGGTGTTAAAAGTCTTAAAAAGGTCTTAAATTTCATGTTCCTAAATTAAGGCCTTGAAAAGACTTAAATTATGTTGTCCAAGTTTTATTTTTTTCACAAAGGTTTTAAATTTCATTGAAATGAGTGTTTCACTTAATGATACCCAGGCCTAGTTTACACTAAGAAGTTGCCGATACGATACATACCTTGATACAGTGAGCTTTCGATTCGATACAGTTCAATAAAAATAAAGGCTAAATCATGGCTGTGATACTAAGTCTTTGTTAAACCATTTCTATTTCAAAGTTCATATGAAACACAAACATTAAAATCATCAAAACAGTGAAAATGTCAAATGTGTCGCATAAAAAAGTTTCCTTCCTCTAAACAAGCACCAAAACTGTAGCTGTAACAAAATAATTTAGTGAAATATACCAAAAATACTCTTGGTGATATATCGATACAGTAGCCCACGATATCGATACTGTATCATCACATTAAGTGATACGATATATCGCTATTTCAATATTTTTGCACACCTCTAGTGTAAACCGTGTGACCTGCAGCATTAGGATTCGTTCACTCGACAGTAGACGGGGACTTTTTTCTTATTGAACCAATCGCTGCTGTTTGGTCGTGACGTTTGTAAAGCTCCAAATCCTGTAGGAAGAAGAACAATAACGTCTTTCCCCGAGATCAAACTCTCCAAACATTCTCTTTGTTCTGACTTTAAATCCTCGATCACTCACACACCACTTTCATACAAGGCAATGTGTGTGAAGTGTCTTGCCTAAAGACACAATAATTGAATTGATTGTTTAACTGACCTTGACTATCAACTGTTCATGGACCTGGAGCAGGTTTGTGTTGTGCTGGAGAGAAATTAAATTGAGCAGAGCCTCAGGAAACGACAACATGAAGTCGTGTAGCATGAACGAACGTCTAATTTGGAGTTTGCACCGATACTTTGTTTACTCGTTGCCGCCAGAGCCCAAAACCAATCAGTAAAGTAGAGGAAGATGTTGGATGGATCATGAAGAAGTGTAGGTTTAATCCACAGTGATTCTTAGATTTCGTTTGATGTAGTTGTTTGGTTTTTATTAGAATTGGATCTGGTGTTTTTCGCTGCATCACGGCTGCGATCTTGGTCGTAATTTTCATTTACGTGATCTTAAATTTGGGGCAGTCAAACCTGGAGATACTCTGACATGGAAAATTCACTTTAAGTCGTGAAGAAGTCATGGAAAAGTTTTTTAATTTTTTTTGCCCGTGAAAGTGTGTGAACTCTGTGTTCTGATAATGGACCAGTCAGTGAACTGTTCCTAAATTGTGTTTTGTGAATTCAGCCAAATGAAAAAGTAACTGCACCAGAACAGTTACTTTAAATGAGTATTGTGAATATTCTCATTATATTTATTCATTTACTTCCCAGCTCTGGTTCTTAACTCGTTTGTGGTGTTTGTGTTGCAGAGAAACGTGAGAGTGGAAGTTTGAACTCGTCTCTGATGGTCGACGCCGTCACTGAAACTCCACAGAGAAACACTCAAGAGCCCCAAGGTTTGATCCCAGCACTGTGACGTACTACTGTGTACTACTACTACTGTGTAACGTACTACTGTGTAACGTACTACTGTGTAACGTACTACTGTGTAACGTACTACTGTGTAACGTACTACTGTGTAACGTACTACTGTGTAACGTACCACTGTGTAACGTACCACTGTGTAACGTACCACTGTGTAACGTACCACTGTGTAACGTACCACTGTGTAACGTACCACTGTGTGACGTACCACTGTGTACGTACGTGTGACTGTGTGACTACACTGTGTGACGTACTACTGTGTGACGTACTGTGTGACTACTACTGTACTACTATGTAACTACTACTGTGTAACTACTACTGTGTGTACTACTACTGTGTGTACCACTGTGTGACGTACCACTGTGTGACGTACCACTGTGTGACTACTACTGTGTAACGTACTACTGTGTAACGTACCACTGTGTAACGTACTACTGTGTAACGTACCACTGTGTAACGTACTACTGTGTACTACTGTGTACTACTACTACTGTGTGTGTGTGTGTGTACTACTACTACAGTGTGTGTGTGTGCTACTACTAGTACTACTACTACTACAGTGTGTGTGTGTGTGCTACTACTAGTACTACTACTACAGTATGTGTGTGTACTACTGCTGTGTGTGTGTGTGTGTGTGTACGTGTGTACTAACTACTGTGTGTACTTCTGTCTGTGTGTTTACTACTACTGTGTGTGTACTACTACTACTACGAATACTACTACTGTGTGTGTACTACTACTACTACGTACTACTACTGTGTGTACTACTACTGTGTGTGTACTACTACTACTACTACGAATACTACTACTGTGTGTGTACTACTACTACTACTACGAGTACTACTACTGTGTGTGTACTACTACTACTACGAATACTACTACTGTGTGTGTACTACTACTACGAATACTACTACTGTGTGTGTACTACTACTACTACTACTGAGTACTACTACTGTGTGTGTACTACTACGTACTGTGTGTGTACTACTACTACGAGTACTACTACTGTGTGTGTACTACTACTACTACGAGTACTACTACTACTACTGTGTGTGGACTACTACTACTGTGTGTGTTACTACTACGACGTGTGACTACTACTACTACTACTGTGTGTGTGTTACTACTACTACTACTACTGTGTATGTGTGTGTCCACTATTATTTATATACAGCATGTCCCAAACAATTTGACATCTTTTTTTTTATTAGTAATGATCTTAAACTACTAAGTCTCTGATGTTGATGTTTTTACCAGATTTTTCCTCTTTACATTTTTGGTCCACATTTGTTTTGCCGTTTGAAGTTTTTCAAAATTTTGCATCAAAGTCTTGGGTGAGTGAGCAGATCCCAAGACGCAAAATGAGTATAATTTATAATTCATCAAATAAATTTCCCCCAAAAAGTGCGACTTATGTTTTTTTTTTTTATTTCTTATGTATTTTTTGGCTTGGTGCAACTTATACTCCGAAAAATACAGTAATCGAGTTGAAGTGAAGCTTAACAAAGTTTTATTTTGGGAGATTGTTTATATAATAAGTATATTTATTTTATTTTTAAATATAGAGGTTATAAAACAGCTGGATATAGAGTTTATTTTGGACACATTTATGTATTTCTGCCTTATTTCATGTTCAAAGTTTATTTTATTCATTTTATACATCGCAACTGCTCTAAGATTCAGATTTGTGGCCGATATTTATTTTCAATTTGATAGTTTTGCGTAAATCATCAAATAATAAGTGTTTTTGTTGTTGTTTGTTTTGTTTTTTGAGAGAGAGAAATGCTGAATCATGTTCTGTAAGTAAAAAAAATAATTGTTTGAATAATTGTGATTTCAGTATTGACCAAAATAATCGTGATCATTTTTTTTCCTTAATCGAGCAGCTCTTACTCAACCTGAAAACAGAACAAAAATAAAACATTAAATATAAAATCTTGATCTGTTTCTGTAGATTCTGTGAAAATTTGAGGTTATTTGACCAAGAATTACCAAAATTATTGCCCTGTGAAATGATGTCAAAGTGTTTGTGGGACCCTCTGTGTGTATTACTGTTTAACTCTGTGACGTGTTTTAACCCAGATGCTGTTCCAGACGCCGCTCCTCCTCCTCCTCCTCCTTCTTCAAACATCGTGACAACGTGGGGAGACTCCAAACCCTCCACCTCCAGGAACCAGCCGCTCAGAGTTTCCAAACGGAAGATGGAGACGAGCGGTCCGCCCACGAAGAAGCAGAGGAAGTACGTGGCGTTGCGTGAAGCGCGGCGGGCGTCGGGTTCTCTGATCCGCGCTGACGTCGCGTTCTTTGTGTTTGCGCAGGAGTCCAGTCGCTCAGCCGCTCAGGAAGTCCAGTCGCATCACGAAGAGCAAAAGTCTGAGGGCGACTCGGAGCGTCTCCAGTCTGCAGACGACCTCCAGCCTGAACACGGCCTCCACCGAGTCAGTCCTGCTCCCACACACGAGACGCACACAAAAAAACACGAGAGACGCACACAAAAAAACACGAGACGACACAAAAACCAAACAAGAGAGACGCACACAAAAAACCAAACACGAGAGACGCACACAAAAAAACACGAGAGACGCACAGAAAAACCAACACGAGAGACGCACACAAAAAACCAAACACGAGAGACGCACACAAAAACCAAACACGAGAGACGCACACAAAAAACCAAACACGAGAGACGCACACAAAAACCAAACACGAGAGAGACGCACACAAAACCAAACACGAGAGAGACGCACACAAAAACCAAACACGAGAGAGACGCACACAAAAACCCAAACACGAGAGAGACGCACACAAAAACCCAAACACGAGAGAGACGCACACAAAAACCCAAACACGAGAGAGACGCACACAAAAAACCAAACACGAGAGACGACGCACACAAACCCAAACACGAGAGAGACGCACACAAAAACCAAACACGAGAGAGACGCACACAAAACCAAACACGAGAGAGACGCACACAAAAACCCAAACACGAGAGAGACGCACACAAAAACCCAAACACGAGAGAGACGCACACAAAAACCCAAACACGAGAGAGACGCGCACACACAAAACCCACAAACACGAGAGAGACGCGCACACACAAAAAACCCAAACACGAGAGAGACGCGCACACACAAAAAACCCAAACACGAGAGACGCACACAAAACAAACCCACGAGAGACTAGACTGTGTCCTGTTGATCCTCCTGCTCTTCGTGCTCCAGGTGCGTCGGCCAAAATGACAACATAGAATTGTTTTCCTTGGATATTTTTATGGAAATCTGTCAGAAATTTAATGTCTTAAAAGGTGGATCCGTATTTTATTGTTCTGCAAATTAATTGGGCACGAAGAGATTCTAATACTAAAGACGGCACAATATTTGAGTCCAGTCACTTTAAAACTTTGTGTGGACTGGATTTGCCTCGTCCTCTGCCGTCTCATCATCGTCGGGTTTGACTCGCGTGATCCCGATGAGGCGCGAAATTCAGATGAGGGCAGGAAGTGTTTCACTCCACTTTAAAACTCATCAAACTGGGCGACACAGACCCACTACTACGAAAAAATAAGTCTAAATATAAGTTCTGACCCGTACGATGTGGAGAAGTCTGAAGTTTTCATACAGTTTGGAGGCGATGGAGATAATAAATTATTTGGTGCTGTAGAACTCGTAAACACTGAGCCAAATGAAAACCTTTAAAACACAGGTGTCAAACATACGGCCCGGGGGCCAGATCCGGCCCTCCAAGACCTTTAATCTGGCCCTCGGCTGATTTTCTACTAAAATATTTTAATTATAATTTTTATTAAACTATTGTTAATTTTCTGTGGTGTTTATCACAGCAGCGTCTCCAGCGTCTCTGTACGTGGCCCCTCCCACCAGAGCAGCACAAATGAAGACTTGTCTCTTTCCAAACGCTCTTAAAGGACGATCGTTTTGACTGTTGACCGTGACACCCTCATCAGAAAAATGTCCAACATGAGAAAAGTGGAGCCGAGTGCAGGATTTTACAACAAAAATGGACTTATTCCTGTTTACAGACAAGTTCATGTTAAAACTTTGTGTTGAAATTGGATTTTCCTTAAAGTTTCAGGTTGTTCATAATATTATAATATTTAGTAAAAGAAAGAGTTCATCAATTCAGAAAGATTTCTGTAATAGATTTGTGTTTCTCTGCACAAATATTTGAACTTATTGTTATTTTTGGGGTTTATATGACATGAGTTTTCTGATCCGGACACTTTGAGATCAAAGTTGGTTGGACACGACCCCCGGAACAAAATGAGTTTGACACTCCTGATTTAAAGCCTGGAGGAGAAAACTATTTAGAATTAAAATCAGCCGCTGCACTTGGATCATCTAAAGATAATTATTAAAAAAGTATAAAACATCAAATTGCAATAGTAAGCAAATAAAATGAGCACCACATGAAGCTTTTTTGTGTGACAAGTTTGGACTTATAACGCAACAGTTTACCGTCACTTAGGATGTTTGTCTTTCTAAATAGCTGTCCAAAAAAACTCTGAATCTATTAATTAATAAATGACACAATCGTGACCTGGTACAAAGTGGTCGTCGCAAACTCCAGAGTCTGTTTTCGTGCCTCCTGGTTTTAGAGATTGTCGATCCACTTTTGATCCACATTAAGTCCCTGTAAGTCCCTTGTTACACACCGTTTTTGGTACGAGGAAAAAAAAAAGTTTCTCCCGATTCGAGCGGCTGCAGCGACCACAGGCTGCACGGAGTTTAGGCATTTTGGCGCCGAGTCAGTGGAGGAAAACGTGGTTCTGTGCGTCTGTCTTTACTTCCTGACCTCATCTGCTTTTGGTGACGTCCAGCGATTCTGTGCCCGTGTGATTCTCTTCAGGCGTCTTTTTTTATTTTGCGTTTTGTGCTTGTTTCTTCAGGAAGTCGTCTGAGGAGCTGGAGCTGGAGAGGATGAAGAAGCTGCAGGAGGAGGTGGCTCTGCACCGGAAGAACAACGAGGCCAGCTACAAAGCGGCTTTAGCTGGAGGTGAGTGTCTCCTGACTGGGCCCCCAGCGCTCGCTCTGACGTGGACTCTGTTTTCGAGATGTTTCACACCGACACTTTTCCGTCTACAGATCCACCGGCGAAGAAGACGACCTTCGCCGGCACCGTGCCCAGAGAGTTCAACTTCAAGACGGACGCGCGGATCAAACCCTCCACTTCGACAAACGCCACCAAAGACGTGAACTTCGTCGCTCAGCTGCGCAAACCCTCCTCCCCCGTGAGTAAACGAGGGCCACGGCTCGGGTCTGGTTTCATCTCAGGACCACACAGAATCACAAACCGAGGAGGTGCAGTTAAAGATCACAAAGACCAATACTGTAGGGAGACCATATTTCCATTTGTGAAAACCCAGACACCTTCCCGGGGCTGGGAGGTGGGGCCTCGACATTGAGCTACAGTCGTCCCTCGCTATATCACGCTTCACCTTTCGCGGTCTCGCTGATTTTTATTTATTTTTAAACCCATGGGTGGGGCAGGACTAATCTTGGACTTAAGAGAGAGAACGCCGAGCAGTTTGTCTGCAAAGCGCGATCAGGCAATTGCCGCGTTTACCTCCGTGAGGTGTGGAGCTCTGCATCGGTCCCTTCTCCTGCGTCACCTCCGGCCCATCCCGACACTAGGTCCTGGTTCGGTCCTGGTTCGGTCCTGGTTCGGTCCTGGTTCGGTCCTGGTTCGGTCTTGGTTCAGTCTTGGTTCGGTCTGGTTCGGTCTTGGTTCGGTCAGTCCGTTCGGTCCTGTTCGGTCCGTGGCGTAGGCAGCACAAAAACTTGATATAATCTCTGGTTAACTGGCAGGTGCGATCCTGTCCTGCGCAGGTGCGGTGTTGTACTGCAGGTCTCCAAAAATGGCCCCATGCAGGACTCTGCTCTGTAGACTCTATTAAGGAATAAATGAATCTTGGGTTTGTTACATAAATAAGGAGGAAAATAACAAAAGGACGACAGCACCTGTCGATCCTGTCTGAGAAAAGTGTATAAAGTTTGTGCTGAGGTTTTACAGACTTAAAACAGATATAATAATTGTAAAATATAAAGTTGATACTTCGTGGATTTCACCTGTCGCGGGTTATTTTTAGAACATAACTCCCACGATAAACGAGGGACACTGAACTCTCACCTCAACCTGTGCACATGGACTCACACTTGTCCCGACCGGGACGGAAAACTGAGAATTTCTTGTACAAGTCGTTGTTAATTGTGCATTTGTGCTTCGGCGTGTTGCAGACTGACCGACTGTGTCTCGCTCCTTCTGAGTCAGAGAACTACGAAAGCCGATCAATTTAATGCCCCCAATGAACTGTAATGAAAACCCGGACATTTCCATCACTTAAAAAAAAACAAAAACGGATGCCCAGGACAAGACGCGAAAAACGGACGTTTGGTCGCCCTACAATACTGAGATTATTCACACAGTAGATTTCCTCTGTGTGGAACTACACTGAGTCTGTGGAGTTTTTATGGGAAAGAAGAGCTTAAACTTCTACAAATGTTCTGAACTAAGATTTTTAACTTTTTAAACTTTTACGGATGGACCCGAGTTTCTGTTTAGGTGCCGATTTTAAAAAGACCCCTCTTTTAGAAAAACTATTAAAGATGTCTGAACCTCACAGCCTTCACTAGGTTGGATGCTCCAGGTGAACTTCTCCTTGGGCTTGTGTCTCACTTTCATGAATGCACTGGCTGCATACAGCAGGGGGCAGGTTTTTTATTTTATTTTTTTAACAAAATGTCTATTATGACCGTCTCATTTCCTTTGGAGATGTACAAACTCGTGTTTTCTCTGTGGATTTCAGGCCAAAGGTGTGAAAGGTGCGACGGTGCCGAAGCCCTTTAACCTGTCGAGCAGCAGGAGGAGGAAGAGGGGGGAGGAGCCGGCGCCTTACGTGCCCATGGCCCAGCAGATCCAGCAGTACGAGAAGAGAACCCCAGACCGTTTCCACCAGCCCAGCCGACAGACGCAGGAGCGGGGTGAGTCCGGAGGGCGAGGGAGCGAGGGCGAGAGGGTCCGGGCGAGGGAGCGGGGGCGAGAGGGTCTGGGCGAGGGTCCGGGGGAGAAACATAAAATATTGTGGAGTCAAAATGCTGAACTCAATTCTGCAAAATAAATGAAATTGTAAATGAATTGTATTTCATTATAAAAAGCAATAAACCTCTAAAGCGCTTTGGACCTGCAAATGTTTAGGGGCAGGAGAGCGACTTGGATGTGCAGAGATGGTGCAGAATTGTGCTTTTGGTGCTCTTCAGTGTAGGGAACAGTGTCAAATACAAAGTTGAAAAAACTGATTTTATCTGTTCAGCCTACATGTCCCATCATGCACCAGACAGGAGTTTGCCCTGATGGAGGCTGAAGGGCCGAAACACGCTGGTCTGATTTGAACTTTATCGAACTTTAGCCATGTGGTGTTAAAGGATGTTGAATATTTTGTACTTTTTTGAGTGCCTCAGTTTTTTCAACTTTATATTCGAAGCCTGGTTTAGTCCAGGCTTTAGTCCAGGTTTAGTCCAGGTTTAGTCCAGGTTTAGTCCAGGCTTAGTCCAGGTTTAGTCCAGGTTGCCTTAGAAAAAATGTAATTTTAAAAAACAGATCTAAAATAAAAGCAGTGCAGCTTTAGTCCAGGCATGAGGTAATATTATACAAATGTTTACGTATTTTGTGATTCCAAATGAGCTGAAACGGGCCGGTCAGAGTCGACCAAAGAGTCAAATGTGGCCCTGGAGCCTGCACCAGGAGAGGACCTGCTGTCTGGAGACCAACTCTAACTCTGTCCTCCAGGTCCGTCTCCCGTGAAGAGTCAGCACAAACCCACAGTGAAGGAGCCCACCATCCCAGAAGGTTTCCACCTGCAGATCGAGAAGAGGCTCCAGGAGCGACAGGCCAAGAAGCCCCCGGTGGTGGAAGAGGAGGAGCCGCCACACGTCTTCAAGTCCCACCCGGTGCCCAAGAAGATCCTGGAGGGAGTCGTGGTGAGTCAAAGCTCTTCTCAGACTGATCCTCTGTCCTGTGTCCTGCCTGAGTCTCTGTTGCAGCCGTTCAGTGCAGAGGAGAGTTTGTCCAGTAAACTGTGTGCAGGTTCTAAAGCTCCTCCGTGTTCACAGGGCGTCCCGGAGAAGAAGCTGCCCACTCTGACGCTCCCAGAGTCTCCGGCCTTCGCCCTGAAGAAGAGGGTGCGCGTGGAGCCGCCTCCTGTCCAGGTCAACTCTCATTTCATTCATCTAGAAAACAGTTTTTTCTTAGCGTAGTGACACTGAGGAGCATCGTTTGGTGTGTGGATGATTCAATATTCCATTTTTCAGGTTTCCCACTGTGTCTTAAAAGCATTGAATTTATGAATTTGGAAATAATACCTTTAAAAAGACTTTAAAAACTCTTGAATTTTTATATCTGAGTCTTAAAATTTGTGCAGTACGTAACTTCTCTGTATCGCATTTCTCCTCAAAAGTTTAATTTGTGAACCACCGTTATTTGGTTAAATACTGTTGCTTAAATAAAGAGCGACTGAAACGATAATTGAAAACACGACTCAGCCCCGGATCAAAATCCTCTGAACACGTCACTGAAAATCACGAATTGCAGCAGCACAAGAAACAAACTCTGCAGAAGAGCGAGAAATCAAAGACGAGCTCAGCAGAACCCAAAGTCTGACTAACACTGTTCTGTTGTTTTTTACTGTTGGTTTTACGTCAGAGCGACACATTTCAGTTATGAGGAAGAGTCTCAACTCCCCAAATTCATTTGTTTGAGAAATAAATCCAAACAAATTCAAGAATTTAGTTTTTCTTTGGCAGTAGTTTTATGAAATAAGCCCTGAAGTAGGTATTAAATTTTGATATAAATGTAAAAGAAATCTGCAGGAACCAGATTTTCCTGTGAGTTCATTTATTCGTTTAAATCCTGTAAAAATGTTATAAACCCTGAAGACCGTGGACTAGTTTTATGTTCTTACTGGTGCTGCTGTGGACCCGCAGGTGAAGCCCCCGTCTCCCATCAAAGCTCCGCCTGTGCCGCACTTCGGTTTGCCCTTCCAGCCCAAACTGCCCGAGCATCACCAGGTGGAGGTGTGTCCCTTCTCCTTCGACAAGAGGGAGCAGGAGAGGAGAGCGCTGAAGGAGAAGAGGCTCGAGCAGCTCAGGAACGAGGACGTGAGTTTCTTTACTTACTCCAGTGTGTGTCTGTGTGTGTCTGTGTGTGTTTGACCTGCTCCACCCAGCAGTGTGTGACCTCAGCTCCACACGCAGACGGCTGGACGCACAGGGTTAGTTTACTCTTTAGAGCCAGGGTCCAGACTTTTAGCTCCAGGAAACATCCAGAGCTGCAGATTCTCCCTGAGCTGGAGCAGGAGTCTTCATCTTTGACAAACTCTGATGTTTGTGTCAAACTGAACCTGAGCTGTAGAGTTCTGTGTCCTGCTGCTGTGCTTAGACGCTTGAATTCCAGCTGCATTATTCTACATGTCACACGCCGCTCACTGATGGAGTGTTTTGATGTGAAACCTGCTGCAGATGTTTGATTATTTGTGTATTTTCCAGGTTCCAAAGTTCAAGGCTCAGCCTCTGCCCGACTTCAGCACAGTGGTGCTTCCAGAGAAGAAGAAACCAGAGCCCACCAAACCAGAGCCTTTTCACCTGCTCCTCAACGAGAGAGGAGCCCAGAAGAGCAGCCGCTGGGAGACCATGGTGTGTGTGTGTGTCTGTGTGTGTGTCTGTGTGTGTCTGTGTGTGTCTCTGTGTGTCTCTGTGTGTGTGTGTCTCTGTGTGTGTGTGTGTGTCTCTGTGTGTGTGTGTCTCTGTGTGTGTGTGTGTGTGTCTCTGTGTGTGTGTCTCTGTGTGTGTCTGTGTCTGTGTAATGATACAACCAGTGTGTGAGCAGGGCCCCGGGTTCTGCTCACACCTCTGGAGATGTTACTGTCCTGGGCAGGTTTTACTCCTCAAAGTCCAACCAGAGGCATTTCAGAGCCTCTAAACTCTGTTCTTTATGTGGAACACTCTCGTTCATAGATCTTCTCTAAATTACAGTACAGCCCCTGACCAAAACCTTGGACCAAAACCTTGGACCAAAACCTTGGACCAAAACCTTGGACCAAAACCTTGGACCAAAACCTTGGACCAAAACCTTGGACCAAAACCTTGGACTTAAACCAGATATAGCCTTGCCATTCCATACGGACCGCCCCCCTCTCCCGTACACCGCACGGGCCACGCCTCTAAAACCAGGTCTAAACAGGATTTGGTCAGGACTTGACCAACCCCCTCCGGTCCACAAAATATTGTTGGATATAAAACCGGTCCATGCGACAAAAAATGTTGGGGACCAGTGGTGTATCTGACTGTGCCCGTTGTGCCCGTTGTGCCCGTGTGCCCGTCCCCTTTAGCCTCACCACGGCCGCGGGCTTCCGGCCCCGTGTTCTGCTCACACCTCTGGAGATGTTACTGTCCTGGGCAGGTTTTAGAGGGCGTCTAAACTCTGCTCTTTACGTGGAACACTCCGGTTCATAGATCTTCTTCTCTAAATTACAGCACATTTCCACAGCCCCTGAGCTCAGCTGTAGAGTTTTGTCCGTTCTCTTCATCACTGTTCAGACCGTGATGTTCCGCGCTCACGATGCTCTTGTTCCTGCAGGTCCAAGAGGAGAAGAAGCAGCAGGAGGAGGCCACACACTTCAAAGCCCGACCCAACGTGGTCACGCACAAGGAACCGTTCAAACCCAAGAAGGAAGAGCGCGCAGACACATGTGAGGCGGCTTTTCTCCCCTTTCCTGCTGAAAAACACACCTGGAGTTTTGTTTCATTCACACTCTGAGCTTAAATTACCTCTTCATGACATCACAAGGTGGAACAGGGCGTCTGAGTGACTCTATTTGTCTGTTTACATCTGCAAAACTCCAAACATGTGAATGAAACAAAACACAACTCCAGCTCTGTTTTTTTCACTCACAAGAGTCAGTTTAATCTAATATAAACATTTAAAACATGTTGTGCCCGTTGTGGATGACTCTGTGTATCTGTTTGTGCCCGTTTGTGCCCGTCTGTGCCCGCCCCCTTCAGCCCTGAGCGCGGCCGCGGGCTTCCAGCTGCTGACCGAGCGCCGCGCCCGTGAGCGGCAGGAGTTCGACCGACTGGTGAGCGAGAAGGAGGCTCTGCGGGCGATGATGGAGGAGCAGCAGCGCAGAGAAGCAGAGGAGCGAGAGAAGGAGGAGATCGCCCGTCTGCGGCAGGAGCAGGTGACGCGCCCGCCAAAACGCCGCCGCAAACGTTTAACACGCCCGCCAAACGCCGCCGCAAACGTTTAACACGCCGCAAACGTTTAACACGCCGCAAACGCAAACGCCGCCGCAAACGTTTAACACGCCGCAAACGTTTAACACAACGTTTAACACGCCAAACGCCGCCGCAAACGTTTAACACGCCGCAAACGTTTAACACGCCGCCAAACGCCGCCGCAACGTTTAACACGCCGCAACGTTTAACACGCCCGCCAAACGCCGCAGCAAACGTTTAACACGCCAACAAGTTCATGTTAAAACTTTGTTGAAATTGTATTTTTCATAATATTATAATATTTAGTAAAAGAAAGAGTTCATCAGTTAAAAAAGATTTGTGTAATAGATTTGTGTTTCTCTGCAGAAATATTTGAACTTATTGTTATTTTTGGGGTTTATATGACATGAGTTTTCTGATCCAGACACTTTGGATCAAAGTCAGTTGGACACGACCCCGGAACAAAATGAGTTTAACTCTCCTGATCTAAATCATGTCTGTGATACTAAAAGCCCCTTCCCCACACACAAATCTGAACCAGGACTAAACTAAAGTCTAAAATGGGACTAAAGCTGGGTCTAAATAGGATTTAATCAGGACTAAATCAGGTCTAAAACCAGGTCTAAACCACGACTAAAACAGGATTTACTCTGGACTAAAAACCTCGGGACTAAACCAGGAGTTAAATGGGACTAAACCGGGACTAAAGCAAAGTCTAAAATGGGACTTAATCAGACTAAATCAGGTCTAAAACCAGGACTAAAACAGGATTTAATCAGGTCTAAAACCACGACTTAACCAGGACTAAACCAGGATTTAAACAGGACTAAAACCGGGAATAAACCCAGGATTAAATCCAAGTCTAAACCGGGATTTAATCGGGTCTAAACCGGGTCTGAACCAGGTGTAAACCAGGATTTAATTGGGACTAAAAACAGGTCTAAACCTCGCCGTGTCGCCGCAGCCCCTGGTCCTCAAAATCTTGTCGGACATAAATCTGGTCCGTGGAGATAAAAAGTTTGAGGAGCACGTCTGTAAATCTCACAGGAGTTGGTTTTGTGTCATTTAGACCTTTTAAAGTGTAAAAAGTAGTTTTTGTTGCGTTTCCTTTCGTCTTTGAGCTTCACTGACTGTCGCTCTGTCTGTTTTGTTTCCTGCAGGTTCACAAGGCTCAGCCCGTCAAACACTATCGCTGTGTGAAAGTGAAGAAGAGCGACATGCCGCTCACCATGCCACAGTCGCCCAACTTCTCCGACCGATTCCGCATGTGACTTTTTTTTTCCTTCTATTTTTGTCCCCCTTTTTAAATATTTCTATTGTATTTTACCAGTTTTTACCTTTTTTAATGTTTTTTGAATAAATCCTGTGAGTGTGGAGACAGTTTGTGTGCAGCTCCTGTCGCTTCTGTAAATATTCTACTAAATGTTCTACTACTAAATGTTGTCTCATCCCTCGACTCGTGTGGTTTTTTTGGTCATGTTTCATGAGGTTTTCAGAAAGTTTTAGCAGAGAAATTAAGGGGAAAGTTCTGGAACCTGGATGTTGAGCTTGTTTAGTGACTTAAAGGTTGTATGGAGGATTTTTTTTTTTTTTTAGTTTTCAAATTGTCAGTGAAAGTTTAAAATACCGTTAGAGACGCAGCAGCCTTGGAATTATAATGACCAAAAAAAAAAGAATGAAAATTTATCAACTGTGGACGTGTTGAGGCCAGATAAACATCAGCCAATAGAAAACAAGGCTCCCTCTTTATCTATTGGCTGTTGCTTTGTCAATCAAACTCCCTTCGTGTCTAGTGTAACTGACTCGTCGGCGCGATGTGAGGATTACGTGGTTTATGCAGCGGTTCTTAGAGGCTTTTTTAAACTGTCGCTTCCTCGCAGTTCACACAAAGTTTGTTGCGACGGCGGACGAGAATCCACGAGCAGTTCGCCGGTTTTTGAGGTCGATGAAAGAAGAGGAGAAGGAGCGAAGACAAACTGAGGTGATTCTTGGAGATTCCTTCCAGCGACGGCGTGAATGAAGCAGACGAAGGGTCTAAAAACTGACGTGTCGGTCGCTAAATTATTTCTAGACGGGAAACTTAAACTAATTCTGAACGAGGCTGTAAACAAACGTGATTTCTAGAGTAAAGAGGCGGGAGGAGGAAGGTGGCGTCACACATGCACAACATTTGAAAAAAGGACTGTTGCTTTATTTCACTTCCCTTAAAAAAATCCTCTATACAACCTTTTTTACAAATATATATTTTTGTTTCAAATTATCAATGAAAGTTCAAAATGGCGTTAGAGACGCAGCAGCTTTGGAATTATGAAGACCAAAAAAAAAACAATGAAAATCCATCAACAGATAAACATCAGCCAGTAGATAAAGAGGCTGCCTCATTTTCTATTGGCTGTTGGGTTGTCAATCAAACTCCCTACGTTTCTAGTGTAACTGACTTGTCGGCGCTCGGGGATTACGTGGTTTATGCGGCGGTTCTTAGAGGCTTTTTTAAACTCGCTTCCTCACAATTAACAGTTTGTTGCGACGGCGGACGAGAATCCACGAGCAGTTCGCCGCAAAACAAAGTCGGTTTTTGAGGTCGATGAAAGAAGAAGAGGAGAAAAGGAGCGAAGACAAACTGAGGTGATTCTTGGAGATTCCTTCCAGCGACGGCGCGACTGAAGCAGACGAAGGAGCTAAAAACTGACGCGTCGGTCGATAAATTATTTCTAGACAGGAAACTTCAACAGTAATTCTGAACGAGGCTGTAAACAAACGTGATTTCTAGAGTAAAGTAGATGTTTCTACTGAGGAGCTGTGGAGGAGGAAGGTGGTGTCACACATGCACAACATTTGAAAAAAGGACTGTCGCTGTATTTCACTTCCCTTAAAAAAAATCCTCTATACAAACTTTAATACAAAAACTCACCGTTACAAACGACATTTTAACAATAATCCCACAATTCTGACCCAAAACCTGCTCCTCCGATCAGGACGAACATCTGATGAATGAAGAACATTAAAAACATCAGTCTTGTTGAACCTTCATGTTTTCGCTCTGTGTCTGTTAAAGATTTGAGTTTTAAATTCTGGTGTCGTTTCCTCGTCACAAAATCGTCCGTCTTCATCTGCGAAGCTCCAAACGCTCCGGTCCACCTTGTGATGTCACGAAGTCTCTCATCCCTCGTTCCTTTTCCTCCTCAGACCCTCCTCCTTTACTCACTCCCTCCTCTTTCTCTTCTCTCCTCTTTTCTCCTCTCAAACTCTCTCCTCTTCCTCTTCAGACCCTCCTCCTCTCTCTCCTCTTTTCTCCTTTCTCTCCTCTTCTCTCTCTCTTTACTCTCTCTTCTTTCTCTCCTCTTCTTTTTCTCCTCTCCTCTTCTATCTTCTCTCCTCCTCTCTTCTCCCCCTCCTTTCTCTCTCCTCTCTTCTCTCCTTCCTTTCTCTCTTTTTTCTGTCCTCTCCTCTCTCTTCTCTCTCCTCTCTTCCTCCTCTTAAACCCTCCCCCTCTCTCCGTTCTCTCTCCTCTCTTCCTCTTCTTCTCAAACCCTCCTCCTTTACTCACTCACTCCTCCTCTCCTCCCTCGTCTTTTCTCTTAAAACCTCCTCTCCTCTTTCTCTTCTCTCTCCTCTGAATCTCCCTCTCTCCCCTCTTCCTCCTCAGACCCTCCTCCTCTTCTTCACTCTCCTCTTCCTCTTGTAAGCCCTCCTCTTTCTTCTCTCACTTCTTTTCTCTCCTCTTAATCTCGCTCTCCCTTTCTCTCCTCTTCCTCCTTTTAAACCCCCCCAATCACTCCTCTTTCTACTCAAACTCTCCTTCTTTACTCTCTCCCTCCTCCCTCTTCTCTCCTCTCTCTCCTTTCTTCTCTCCCTTCTTTCTCTCTCCTCTTTTCCTCTTCTTCTCTCTCTCCCCTCTTCATCCTCTTAAATCCCTCCCCCTCTCTCTCCTCAAACCCTCCTTTTCTCTCTTCTCCCTCTCCTCTCTTCTCTCTCTCTCTCTCTCTCTCTTCTCTCTCCTATTCTCCTCTCTTCTCTCTCCTCTTCTCTCTCTCCTCTCTTCTCTCCCTCCCCCTCTCCCTCTCACTCCTCTTCCTCTTCAAACCCATCTTTTTTCTCACTCCTCTCTTCTCCCCTCTTCCTTTTAAAAACTCCTCTCTTCTCTCTCTCTCTCTTCTCTCTCTCCTCTCCTCTCTCCCCTTGTCTCCTCTTTTCTCTCGCTCCTCTCTCTCCCCTTGTCTCGTCTCTCCTCTCTTCTCTCTCTCTCTCTCTCTCTCTCTCTTCTCTCTCTTCTCTCTCCTCTATCTCTCTCTCTCTTTTCTCCTCCTTGTTCTTCTCTCTGTTGTCTTTTCTCTTTAGTTGAGCAGAGATCAGCGACTCCAGGACTCAGTGATTCTAGTGAAGGTGTTGTGGTTTAAAAACACAGTGGAGCTTTTTGTGAAAAAAGTTAAAAACAGTGAATGAAACAAAAATAAAAAACCCAGAGGAAACAAAATCAGAAAAAATCAGAAAAACCTTTAGTGAAATATTGGATACCTTTAAAGTGTTGGGAAGTTTACTTTTAAAATGTAATCCCCTACAGATTACAGATTACACACACCAAAATGTAGTTTGTAACAGAATCCATTAAATGACTTAAAGTGAGTAATGTAATCTGATTACTTTGGATTACTTGATTTGTTGTAGAGAAACAAAGACGAGGAAATCTTCACATAAGAAGTTTTGTCTGATAAAAGAAAATAAAAAGTCCAGATTTTACTGAACCAAATTAAAAATATTATTGATAGAAGAAGAAGAAACACGTCCACACAGCAGGATTTAGTCCTGGTTTAGTCCTGGATTTAGACCTGGTTTTAGTTTTTAGACCTGGTTTTAGTAGTTGGTTTTAGTTCCTGGTTTTTAGTCCTGGTTTTCTGTTTTAGTCCTGGTTTAGTCCTGGTTTAGTTTTTCCTGGTTTAGCAGTGAGTGGAATCACCGAGGGAAAAAAAAAAAAAGGGATTTAGCTCCAAATGTGAAAACAGTAAAATCCCTCTGTTTAATCCATTTATTTCAACAAAGTAACTGTAATCCAATTCCCACTCACTGAAACAGTAACTGTAACTGAATACAGTTACTCATCATTTGTACTCTGATTACTCTGGTACATGTAATCTGTTACAACACTGGATGAATGTGGTGATGTTATTTAAAATCCAGTGATTTATTGAACAGAAATGAAACACTTGAAACAGGTTTTATGTTTTTACTGTGAGTTGTTTTCATCTGAGGCGTTTCCTACAAATGTTACAGAAAAAACAAACTTCAGTCGTTTTTTTGACAAAATATAAAAGCCGACAAACTCTGAAACGGATGGAGCTGTTCTGAATCTAATATTACAAGTCAAAAATCTATCGCAAAAGCCACAAAAACTCATTTTTAAAGGCACCGCGCGGCATTTAAATCTTTAAATCTTCAAAATGACACTTTTTTTCTCATGTTCTGATGTCGTTTCCTCGTCACAGACCTGGAGATGTGGGTTTTTTTGTTTCATTTACACATTTAACGGACAAAACCTGCACTTTTACACTTCTTCGTTCTGAAAACTCTGTTCCACCTTGTGATGTCATGTGGTAATACAAGTTTTTAGGAGCTGTTCATACCGAAGAATTTCTAAAACAAAAATTCAAATTGGAGACAGATAAATGTGTTTTGTGACTTGGAACAACTTTTTTTTTTTTTTTTTTATGTGATTTTGTGCAACACTTTTAGTTTGATTTTCAGTTCAGGGGAATTCAGTTTGACACTCGAACCATAAAAGAAATAAAACTTGATAAATAATAAATCAATGATAAAAGAATTCGGTATCAACAATTTACTGATATTAGGAAACATTTTATTCACAAATGTCACTTTATAAGATAAAAACCAAAGGTGGAAGATCAGGACCCGAGGCTTTTGTTGCTCGTTGGGAGAAAAGGAAGCGAGTTTCTTCCATCTGAAACTTAAATTGAAGCTTTGAAATTGTCTTTTTGTTTGTAAATATGTTTTTCAGGGTTCGCACGAGTAATGTAATCTGAATACTTTGGATTACTTGACTAGTCCTGGTTTAGTCCTGGTTTAGTCCTGTTAAATCCTGTTTTAGACCTGTTTTAGTCCTGGTTTTAGTTCTGGTTTAGACCTGGTTTAGACCTGGTTTAGATCTGGTTTTAGTCCTGGTTTAGACCTGGTTTTAGTCCTGGTTTTAGACCTGGTTTAGTCCTGGTTTTAGTCCTGGTTTTAGTCCTGGTTTTAGTCCTGGTTTTAGTCCTGGTTTAGACCTGGTTTAGACCTGGTTTTAGTCCTGGTTTAGTCCTGGTTTAGTCCTGGTTTGAGTACTGGTTTAGTCCTGGCTTTAGTCCTGGTTTAAAACCAGGACTTAAACCAGGACTAAACCAGGACTAGTCCTGGTTTAGATCTGGTTTTAGTCCTGGTTTAGATCTGGTTTTAGTCCTGGTTTAGTCCTGTTAAATCCTGTTTTAGACCTGTTTTAGTCCTGGTTTTAGTCCTGGTTTAGACCTGGTTTAGATCTGGTTTTAGATCTGTTTTACTCCTCGTTTAGTCCTGTTTTAGTCCTGATTTAGTCCTGGTTTAGTCCTGGTTTAATGTTCGGCAATGAGTGGAATTACCGAAAAATAATAATAAATCTGGTCGTATCTGGAGTTCTGCAGAATTATAATAAAACAAAAACACAAACGCTTCATGACATCACGAGGTGGAACAGAACATTTCGAGTATTTTCCAGGTTTGTTTTCGAGGAGGAAACAACATCAGAACGACGACTTAAACTTCAACAAGAGTCGGTAAAATCTCGTAAAATCGAACCTTTGACATCAGAAAATCATCAAAACGAAATCACGTCGTCACCCGTTTGTCTCCGCGACCGGAAACGTTTAAACGACGTCACCGTGGAGCGAGAAGAACGTTTCCGTGGAGACGAGCGGGTAAAGTCACACAGTGCACCTTTAATAATCCACGAACATTTATCTACAACAGAAAAAAGGCGTAAACCGAGTCGAATAAGACGAGAGTTTTTCAGTATTTGGAGTGTTGACCGTTTTAAAAGTTCATGTTTCGTTCGATGAGGCAAAGAAAACAGTTCAGTAAATGTGAAAAGCAATTAAAAAAAAAAAAAACAATAAAAAAAAACATTGAAGCTACAGTGTTCTCGGCGGTCGTGCGAGCAGAAGTCGTCTACACTGGACATTCTCTTATCGTTGGGATTTAAGTCAAAAAATAAAAATGTAAAATTCAGAAAGGTTTTTGTAACAGACGTGTTCAGTTCAGAAGGTCCAGCTCTGAATCTGAACATTTTCACCCACTGTAAACTCTTTAAAGCCACACTATGTAACTTTTTATTACGCTAAAAAAACTGAAAATCATACGTCCAAACTAGAACTTTTTTCACAACGGCCGGAAGTGTTTCTCTGGAGGTTTGTGGATCTTCAACCAACAAACTCCACAAAGGAGAAACATTCAAACAAGAAGAATTTATCCACAAATATAAACAGTGTTGGGAAGTTTACTTTTAAAATGTAATCCCCTACAGATTACAGATTACATACTCCAAAATGTTACTAGTTTGTACTCTGATTACTCTGGTACATGTAATCTGTTACTCTCAGACACTGAGTATCAAGAGAAGAAAGAGCAAAACTTAAAGGAAACATCGAGCCACATGAGTCACACAACAAACTCAACTCATGTTCTGATCCTGAAGAAAACAGACGAGACTTGAACATGAGGCTGCATCATTCGCCCCAATGTCACAAATTCAACTTGTCCCCAATTTTAAAATGTGACAAAACTAAATAAAAAGAAAATCTGAGGAATATTTGCTCAGTTGAATAAAATCTACTGGGTTCAACGAGTCTCTTAAAGTTCCATCCTAACGGTGTCCAAAATCACTAACACTTTAGAATAACTACACCTTATTCAGCCTTAATAAAGCATGAACAAAGACTTAATTAACAATGATTCACGCTTAGTAACTACTTAATTACTACATGAATTAGCACTTAACTTGCACTTAATTCACCTGTGCTGTAAATAGTTATTTAATACTTCTTAATTACTCATGAACTAAACATTTGCATGTTTATAAATGTATATTTAAGTACAAATTTGAGCATTTATTAATGATTAATAAACTATGAGAGAATGATTTACCAACCAATTTGTACTTAAATATACATTTACAAATACACACACAAATGGTTAGTTCATAACTATTTACAGCACAGGTGAATTAAGTGCAAGTTAAGTGTTAATTCAGGTAGTAATTAAGTAGTTACTAAGTGTGAATCATTATTATTTAAGTCTTTGTTCATGCTTTATTAAGGCTGAATAAGGTGTAGTTATTCTAAAGTGTTAGTGAACACCGTGGATGGAACTAAGAGACTAGTTGAACCCAGTAGATTTTATTCAACTGTGTTACCGAAAAAAACGTTTTTCTCAAATAACTTTAAAAATAATCCATTTAGGGCCACGGTGTCGATGAAAACTGAATATAAATGTTGCTGTTGCATCTTTTGGTACAAATTTCACATCTCTATCTTCATAACTTTCTAAGATGTGATAATTTTGTCAAGATATTGAGTGTTTTTTTCATAATGATCCAAAATCCACAGAGTCCAAAGATGAAATGGGAGACATAACGTTTCTTCTTTCTGTCGTGTCATAGACTGTATAAAAAAGTGGAGTAAGTGAGAGAAAAGCAGAGTTTAAGCCCAAGTTTACACAAAGAATAAGGATGTTATTAAAAAAACCTGATGTTTCAGCTCAGATGTAAGACCACAGGCCCTAAACGTCAGAGGCTCGTGGACCCTGTAGACATCAAGAGAATTTCATGAAATTTCTCTTTACTTTGGCAAATGTAAAAAATGTTATTCTAGGTACAGATTGATTTTCAGATATTTTTTCAAAAAGTTGGGTAAATGATGCTCCCTGATGTTCACTCAGACTGATTCTACTATTACAATTAAAACCTGATTTCATGATGTGGATATCAGATGCTTCAGATGTTCACACACGTGTCACATTTAAACCGGACACATCTGTCTGTGCTGATATCGTCGAGTCTGATTCATGAGCCGGTTTCACTTGGTGGAAACCGTGTGACCTGCAGCATTAGGATTCGTTCGCTCGACAGTAGACGGGGACTTTTTTTATTGAACCAGTCGCTGCTGTTTGGTCGTGACGTTTGTAAAGCTCCAAATCCTGTAGGAAGAAGAACAATAACGTCTTTCCCCGAGATCAAACTCACCAAACATTCTCTTTGTTCCGGTTTTAAATCCTCGGAGGATCTGGGGAATCGTTGACAACACAGAATGTCTGTCTTCGTCTACGTCCATCTCGACGCTTTGTTTACTGTTGTGTTGTTCCACAAAAGGGACACAGACAGACGCCACGACAACCACGTCATGACTTCACAGCTGATTGGTCAGTGCTCAGTCTACAACTTATTCACATCGTCTAGTGCAGAGGTGTTCACACTTTTTCATCATGTGATCTACTTACAAAATGACCAAGTCAAAATGATCGACCTAATACAAAGTCAAACAAACTGCACTGAAACACTCTGTGCCCCTTTTTTGGACCCTCCCCCACAGTTTGAGAACCTCTTCTTTAAGAGAACTTCCTCTGGCACTTTACACAAAACTGTGAAAAAAGTGAAGGAAGATTTTTAAACCTGTTTTTTAAAGTTCCAAACTGGAGTTTCATTCTTTTCTGGTTTTGCAGTGATATTTACCAGCCTCTGCACGTTTACCAAACCAAACGCACATCGTGACAAACACAGATGCATTTGTCACTTTTGTTAGACAAACTTCAGCCAAATGTGGCAGTAGGTCTGTTCTGTAGATCCGCTCTATGCTGTAGACCTGCTTTGTGCCAACACTGGAACACAAATTTAGACTGGTTTTTGCTTCACGTTTGGTCTTGTTCTTCTAATCAGCCGCACTGTGGGAGGGGCTTGTGTTGGCTGTACGCAGGAAGGAGCGAGAGCGTGAAAAGGCGAGGGGCGGCGTGCTGACGTGAGGCAGGTGGACAGGTAGGATGTTTAGGAAGTTGAACCTGCCCTGTGATGCACGCTGGTACACGAGGGCACACGCTGTCGCAGACGAGCCGTGCATAGGGAGCGTGTGTGTTTGTGATGCGCCGTAGAGTCTCCGCGGGTTTCAAATGAGCGCACAGGCTGCACTGAGACGCCCCACACGCTCCTGCACCCGCTACAAGTTTATTACCAACAGCAGCGGCCGGAATGAAATATGATCACACTTGTTGAGTGTCAGACCTCGAGTGAGAGACAAGACCGAGTCCAAACGCGAGTCCGAGACGAGACACGGAGATCTACCCACACGACCTCGGCGATCGACGTATTGAGCACCCCTGGTCTAGTGTTTTCTGATTCCTGATCCTAGAGCTGGAGAGAAAAGAAATTGAGTGGAGGCACAAGGTGGCAGCCTGATTCATCAGCCGGTTTTACTTCGTTTCACTTTGTAGAAACCGTGTGACCTTGCAGCCTTAGATTTTACACGTCCATCCTCAAACCTAAATCAGAACAAACGAGAGAACAACAGGTGTAGTCAGGTCAGGTCAGGTCCAGACGTGTGGAAGCTCCATTATGACCATGAATTGTTCTGTTAATTAGACCCACACCCTGAACAGGTCAACAGGCCCAACTAACAAACACAAACTGTAAACAAGTGTGTGTTAGTTCCAGAGGAGTTTCAGTGTAGTTAGCTCCTCCCTGCAGACAGATATGAGGTAGTGTCACCAGCGTCTGACCAGAACTGTCTGAGAGAAAACGTTGAAAAAACGAATCTCAAGCTGGAGGAACGTAGGAGGGACGCCTAGACTGGATAAATATCAACATCATGAAATTGATTTTTAAATTTAATTATAAAAAGAATGAGAACTTTGCACATCACTTCCTTGAGATGGGGGCGCTGGAGGAGAAGGAGACGCCCAAGAACTTTAGAATCGTAACAGTAGAACGAGTCTGAGTGACAAGTTCTTCTGTTTTCTTCAGGATCAGAACATGAGTTGAGTTTGTTGTGTGACTCAATGTGTCTCGTTGTTTCCTTTAAGTTTTGCTCTTTCTTCTCTTGATCGTTGTGGATAAGGGACGGGCATGAAATGTTCTTAATCGATCGTCGGGAGAATTAACGATCGATTATCGATTAATCATTAACGTTTTTATATTAAAATGATCATCATTATTATTACTATCTGCACTAATCTGCATAAATAAATTCAACTTTACGACATATAAACATAACGACTCTAGATCCACATCAGCTGTTTGACATTATAATGTGTTTAATTCAGTTTTGTTCAAATCTCACAGAAACAAAACTTAAAACCACATCACTAATTTACATAAACTAAGTGAAGATAAAACTCCAGCTCTTGTGTCGCTGATGTGGTTCACCTTGTGTTGGATTAAAAGACATGACTCAGGTGAATACAGGTCAGTGTGACCAGATTTGTGTTTGTCAAAACCAGGACAGCGTACGGGGGGAGGGGGGCGGGGCCTCGTCATCCACATTGAGCGACTCTCACCTGGAAAAACTTTTTCCCACTGGACACAGAAACATATGTGCTGCTTTATCCACTGTGCACATGGACTCACACTTGTCCCAACGCAACGGAAAGTGTGGAATTTCTTCTACAAATCCTGGTTAAATCCACATTTGTGCTTCGGTTCGTTACAGACTGACCCACTGTTTGTGTCTCGCTCCTTCTGATGCAGAGACACATGTACAGACACAGCAAACTACATTCGGTTTGTTGATTAAAATGAACGTAATCGATGAAATTCTTAATGATCAATTATCGATTAATCGATTAATCATGCCCATCCCTAGTTGTGGATAAATTGTTCATGAAGAATGTTTCTCCTTTGTGGAGTTTGTTGGTTGAAGATTTGGTGATGGAGCAGATTTATGAAACTGCTGGAGAAACCGACACATATTTACACAGAAAAACATTAACCAAAAGTTCCACAAACCTCCAGCGGGACACTTGCAAACACTGCGAAAAAATCTAAAATCTTCCACACTACGGCATTACCCTTTCCTGTCTCCGTGGAGAATGTTCCAAAGTGTAGAACTTCTCCAAAAAGTTACATCGTGTGGCTTTAAAAGGTGCACTGTGTAACTTTTCCGGTGGAGGCTCCGTCAGACGCTTTTCTCCATGGAAGTGTTGTTGCTTTGTCTGGAATGTTCCACAGTACGGCATTAAAACTTTCTATCTCCACGGAGACCAAACCAGACCAGACGGGGTTTCCGGGTCAGATCTGTGGAGAGGCGACTCCGCTCACAGTCACAGTGTCTGTTTTTCAATGATTTTTGAGGTTTAAACCAGCTGTGATTGAATAATTCCAGGCAGAGCAGTGACGTCTCCATAGCAACAAGCAGGTGATGGACCGTCAACCGAAAAGTTACAAAGTGCAGCTTTAAAGCAATTCTAATATTTGCGTGTTTAGTGTTTGAGGGTCACGTTCCCTCACAGTGTAGAACAGCCCGGAGAAGGTTAGAAGCACCAGCGGACCTACAAGAGTCCACCTCAGAGTCTGACGTCCTCCTGTTGTCATGGACCTCAGAGTCTGACATCTTCCCGTCATGGTGGACCTCAGAGTCTCAGGTCGTCCTCCTCCTGCTGTGGTGGACCTCAGAGTCTCAGGTCGTCGTCCTCCTGCTGTGGTGGACCTCAGAGTCTCAGGTCGTCCTCCTCCTGCCGTAGTGGACCTCAGAGTCTGAAGTTCTCCTGCTATGGACCTGAGACTCTCAGGTTCTCCTCCTGCCGTGGACCTCAGAGTCTCAGGTCGTCCTCCTCCTGCTGTGGTCCTCAGAGTCTCAGGTCGTCCTCCTCTGCTGTGGACCTCAGAGTCTCAGGTCGTCGTCCTCCTGCTGTGGTGGACCTCAGAGTCTCAGGTCGTCGTCCTCCTGCTGTGGTGGACCTCAGAGTCTCAGGTCGTCCTCCTCCTGCTGTGGTGGACCTCAGAGTCTCAGGTCGTCCTCCTCCTGCTGTGGACCTCAGAGTCTTTGGACGTCTCCGTCACCGTCCTCGTCCGCTGCTCGTCTTAATAAATATGTTTTGTGTGGGACGCGTCGGTGTGAGTTTGGTCCGGGGGGGGGTTAGGGGTTAGGGGTCAGGGGTCAGGGGTCAGGTTAGGGGTCCACGAAGGAGACTGCGATGTAGCGAACCCCCGCGGTGGTGGGGAGGCCCTCGTGGTAGTGGGTGAGTCTCCCCGGGTGCATCAGAGCCCAACCTTTACGAGGAGACGTGATGGAGCAGTCGTACCTCAAGAACTTACAACCGCCGCCCTGAAACAACACAACAACAACAACACAACATTACACACAACAACACAACAACAACAACAACACAACATTACACACAACAACACAACAACAACACAACAACACAAACAACAACAACAACAACACAACAACACACAACAACAACAACAACAACAACACAACAACACAACAACAACAACAACAACACACAACACAAACAACACAACACAACACAACAACACAACACACACACAACACACAACAACATTACACAAAACACAACAACAACAACAACACAACATTACACACAACAACACAAGAATCACAACCGCAAGAACCTGCAACCGCCGCCCTGAAACACAACAACACAACAACAACAACACACACACAACACATTACACACAACAACACAACAACAACACAACATTACACACAACAACAACAACAACAACACAACATTACACACAACAACACAACATCACACAACATTACACACAACAACACAACAACAACACAACAACAACATTACACACAACAACAACAACATTACACACAACAACACAACAACAACACAACAACACAACATTACACACAACAACATTACACACAACACAAGAGTCACAACATTACATTACACACTGTGTGTGTGTTTCCGTTTGTTTTTGTCGAGTTGTGTGTGCGTTTCCGTTTGTTTTTGTCGAGTTGTGTGTGTGTTTTTGTCGAGTTGTGTGTGTGTTTTTGTCGAGTTGTGTGTGCGTTTCCGTTTGTTTTTGTCGAGTTGTGTGTGCGTTTCCGTTTGTTTTTGTCGAGTTGTGTGTGTGTTTTTGTCGAGTTGTGTGTGTGTTTTTGTGGAGTTGTGTGTGCGTTTCCGTTTGTTTTTGTGGAGTTGTGTGTGTGTTTCCGTTTGTTTTTGTGGAGTTGTGTGTGCGTTTCCGTTTGTTTTTGTGGAGTTGTGTGTGTGTTTTTGTGGAGTTGTGTGTGTGTTTCCGTTTGTTTTTGTGGAGTTGTGTGTGTGTTTTTGTCGAGTTGTGTGTGCGTTTCCGTTTGTTTTTGTGGAGTTGTGTGTGCGTTTCCGTTTGTTTTTGTGAGTTTGTGTGTGTGTTTTTGTGGAGTTGTGTGTGTGCGTTTCCGTTTGTTTTTGTGGAGTTGTGTGTGCGTTTCCGTTTGTTTTTGTCGAGTTGTGTGTGTGTGTTGTTTTTGTGTGAGTTGTGTGTGCGTTTCCGTTTGTTTTTTGTCGAGTTGTGTGTGTGTTTTGTGTGTTTGTTGTCGTTTCGTTTGTTTTTGTCGAGTTGTGTGTGTGTTTCCGTTTGTTTTTGTGGAGTTGTGTGTGCGTTTCCGTTTGTTTTTGTGGAGTTGTGTGTGTGTTTTTGTGGAGTTGTGTGTGCGTTTCCGTTTGTTTTTGTCGAGTTGTGTGTGTGTTTCCGTTTGTTTTTGTCGAGTTGTGTGTGTGTTTTTGTGGAGTTGTGTGTGCGTTTCCGTTTGTTTTTGTCGAGTTGTGTGTGTGTTTTTGTGGAGTTGTGTGTGCGTTTCCGTTTGTTTTTGTCGAGTTGTGTGTGTGTTTTTGTGGAGTTGTGTGTGTGTTTTTTGTTTGTCCGTTTGTTTTTGTGGAGTTGTGTGTGTGTTTTTGTGGAGTTGTGTGTGCGTTTCCGTTTGTTTTTGTGGAGTTGTGTGTGTGTTTTTGTGGAGTTGTGTGTGTGTTTTGTGTGAGTTGTGTGTGTGTTTTTTGTTTGTGTTGTGTGTGCGTTTTTGTGGAGTTGTGTGTGTGTTTGTTTGTGTTGGAGTTGTGTGTGCGTTTTGTGTGAGTTTGTGTGTGTGTTGTGGAGTTGTGTGTGCGTTTCCGTGTGTTTTTGTGGAGTTTGTGTGTGTTTTTGTGGAGTTGTGTGTGTGTTTTTGTGGAGTTGTGTGTGCGTGTTTTTGTGGAGTTGTGTGTGTGTTTTTGTGGAGTTGTGTGTGCGTTTCCGTGGCGACTGACCTGGAAGTCTTTGCCCACGTGGTTCAGGGCGATGTTGATGGTGAAGGTGGAGGCGTCGTGGTGCGGACGCAGAGACGGCTGCTCGTCCGGTTTGTACCGAACCACGAACGCCAGATCGAACTGAGCCTGGAACACACAAACACACACACATTTAACACACAAACACACACACACACACATTTAACACACACACACACACACACACACATTTAACACACACACACATTTAACACACAAACACACACACATTTAACACACAAACACACACACATGTTTAACACACAAACACACACACATTTAACACACACACACACATTTAACACACACAACACATTTAACACACAAACACACACACATTTAACACACACACACACACACACGTTTAACACACACACACACACACACATTTAACACACAAACACACACACATTTAACACACACAAACACACACAACAACACACATTTAACACACAACACACACACATTTTAACACACACACACACACACATGTTTAACACACAAACACACACACATGTTTAACACACACACGTTTAAAACACACAAACACACACATGTTTAACACACACACACGTTTAACACACACAACACACAAACACACACACGTTTAAAACACACAAACACACACATGTTTAACACACACACACACACACACACACACACACACACATTTAACACACAAACACACACACATTTAACACACAAACACACACACATTTAACACACAACACACACACATTTAACACACAAACACACACACATTTAACACACACACACACACATGTTTAACACACACACGTTTAACACACACACGTTTAACACACAAACACACACATTTAACACACAAACACACACATTTAACACACACACACACGCACATTTAACACACAACACACACACATTTAACACACACACACACGTTTAACACACACACGTTTAAAACACACAAACACACACATTTAACACACAAACACACACACATTTAACACACACACACACACACACACACACACACACACGCACATTTAACACACACACACACACACACACCACATTTAACACACAAACACACACAATTTAACACACACACACGTTTAACACACAACACACACACACACACAAACACACAAACACATTTAACACACAAACACACACAACACACATTTAACACACAAACACACACACACACACACATGTTTAACACACACACGTTTAACACACACAAACACACACATGTTTAACACACACACGTTTAACACACACACGTTTAAAACACACAAACACACACATTTAACACACAAACACACACACATTTAACACACACACACACACACACACACACACATTTAACACACAAACACACACATTTAACACACACACACACGTTTAACACACACACGTTTAAAACACACACACACATTTAACACACAAACACACACACATTTAACACACACAACACACACACATTTAACACACACACACACACACATTTAACACACACACACACACATTTAACACACACACACACACACATTTAACACACACACACACACACACATGTTTAACACACACACACACACATTTAACACACACAACACACACACACACGTTTAACAACACACACACATTTAACACACACACAGTTTAACACACACACACACACGTTTAACACACAAACACACGCACATGTTTAACACACACACGTTTAAAACACACAAACACACACATGTTTAACACACACACACATTTTTAACACACAAACACACATGTTTAACACACACACGTTTAAAACACACAAACACACACACATTTAACACACACACACATGTTTAACACACAAACACACACAAACACAACATGTTTAAACACACACACATTTAACACACAAACACACACACACACATGTTTAACACACAAACACACACACATTTAACACACAAACACACACACATTTAACACACACACATTTAACACACACACACACACATGTTTAACACACACACGTTTTAAACACACAAACACACACACATTTAACACACAAACACACACATGTTTAATACACACACACATTTAAAACACACAAACACACACATGTTTAACACACAAACACACACATGTTTAACACACACACATTTAACACACAAACACACACACATGTTTAACACACACACATTTAAACACACAAACACACACATGTTTAACACACACACACATTTAAAACACACAAACACACACATGTTTAACACACAAACACACATGTTAACACACATTTAACACACAAACACACACATGTTTAACACACACACATTTAACACACACGCACATGTTTAAAACACACAAACACACACAGTTTAACACACAAACACACACACATTTAACACACACACAACACACACATGTTTAACACACACACACACACATGTTTAACACACACACACACACATGTTTAACACACAAACACACATGTTTAACACACACACGTTTAAAACACACAAACACACACATTTTAACACACAAACACACACACATTTAACACACAAACACACACACATGTTTAACACACACACACACACGCACATGTTTAAAACACACAAACACACACATGTTTAACACACAAACACACACACATTTAACACACACACACATTTTAACACACACACACACACACACACACACACACACCACAACATTTAACACACACAAACACACACATGTTTAACACACACACGTTTAACACACAAACACACACATTTAACACACACATTTAACACACAAACACACACATGTTTAACACACACACACACACACAAAACACACAAACACGTGAGTAAAATCCCTCAGTCGTTCAGGTTGAATCCGCGGTAAAAGGAGAAATTCAACTTGTCAACTGGACAAAAGTTTTGGCAACTTTTGTCCAGTTGACAAGTTGAACACACACACACACACACGTTTAACACACCAACGACACATAGTTCTCCTCTCAAACACTCTATTCCACCTTGTGATGTCACGTGGTGATACAGGAAGTGCTCCACTGTGGTTTAAAAGTCCATGCACCAGAAGAACAGAGTCTGCCGCCTGTTCAGACGTGTCTCTATTTAGACCTGCACATTTTCTTTTCAGACCCTTTTTAATACTGCAATTCGTCTTTTTTTTTTTTTTTTTTTTTGAGAGTTGCGATAGTCGACCCAGATGCGTCTCTCTGCTCATGTAGGACACACGATAGAAGGACTGAAGCACAAAGGCCCGTGCAGCTTCAGTTGGGTCGTAGCAGCTCGTCAAAGTCTGATCCTGTCACATCTCAGAAGCTCAGCAGGACCAGGCCTGGTCAGGATTTGGATGGGAGACGCTGGGAAAATCAAGTGCCACAGTGGGGTGACAGACACAAAAACTGCTTGGCAGCCATGCTTCCATCAGTCTGCCCCAGGGCAGCTGTGACTACAATAATAGTTTACACCACCAGGTCTGGAGTGAATGAATAAAGCTCTGTAAAGTGTCTTAAAGACATATATCTGCAAAAGGCACTATATAAATAAAAACTTACTCAGTTTTAGATGAGACATTTTCCTGAAGTCTGGTCTATGCTCTTTTTGAAAATCCATGACTGTTTCCCACGACTCACTTAGGACATTTTCCCGCCGTCTGATCTCTGAGTTCTTCTGATCAAGAACTTTACACCTGCCCAAGCATCTTATGATACACAGGAGCACAAAGTATAATAGACTCTCACATTTAGGCTACGTTCAGACTGCAGGGTTTAATGCTCAATTCAGATTTTTTTGTGAAATCCGATGTTTTTTTGAGGTCGTTCACATTTCCAGTTAAATGTGACTTGTGTGTGACTCCAGTGTGAACATTAAACGGTCCAAAAGTGTCCCACATGTGACACTGGAGACACGACGACGTCAACCGCAGCGAGCGTCTCTGTGTTTACACAAGTTGAACCAAACATGGACGCAGCATCGAGCACCTGGAGATTTTAAAGTTCCTCTCGTACCGGAGCCACAACATGAACAACTGACTTGTTTTAAGGAGGAGATTGAGAAGGAGAAGGACCAGGTTTTTGGTGGTGGTGTTTTGTGGTGAGTGGAGATGTGCTTCACTTCAGTCACACGGAGTTTATTAACAATTTTCTCCTACTTCAGTGCAGAATAGTGACGTTTGTGTCTTGTTGATAACGTGTAGGTGGATGAATGTGACCTGACTGTTCACACTGAAGTCACATGTCAAAAGATCAGATATGGATCAGTTTCAGGAGCACAGATCCAAGTGTCCTGGGTCATGTTTGAAAACATCAGATCTGTGTGGTTCAGACGTCATTAAAAGATCAGATACAGGAACATAGAGACAAAAATCAGATTTGAGTCACTTCAGGTGCAGACTGAACACAGTTTTATATTAAGCCCAATTTATGGTCGTGCGTCAAATCATCAGCATCGTGACACAGAGAGTCTGCGTCATGAACCCCCCTCCCCCCCTGCGACCGACATGCACCTCCCACATCTCTGAACTAAAGGCTGTTCACTTGAAAACTACCACTTCATGACATCACAAGGTGGAGCCCTGGTGTAGTATCTGGGTTTGAGAGTCTAAACCACAAACAAAATGGTGAAAATAAAAACACCAGGAGCATGAAGAGTGAGTTTAAGACTAAAATGAGGCTGACAGCAGCAGGAGGACAGTGTAAAGTCAGTTGGCAGCTGGTGGTTAACTGTGTCCACCCTGGCGCGGTGCCCGGGCTGTGCCCCTTACCCTGGTGTAGTATCCCGGGTACATCTTCTCGGTGATGGGCGCCACATAATCCAGGAGGAACTTCTGCCACTCCCGGTGGTAGTTCACCTGGTTCATGTGGATGTCGATGGTCGGCACGTTCTCGTACCCGCCCTGGATCCGTTTGTCCTGACGGGCAAAGAGGGCACAGAACAGTGAGGGCACAGAACACAGGAAGAACAGTGAGGCTCAGACAGAAAGAGACACAAGGAAAACAGTGATGGAAAAATAACAGTACTAAAGTAAAAGTACTACTAAAGTATTTTTAGGTACTGATACTGTGGGGTCTGGTCAAGTGTTAACGGAGGAAACAGGGTCAGATTTTTGACATTCAAATGTCTCTTATTCAGAAACTAGAGGAACTATTGAAATAAGTAAAGTATCAGAATGTAGGAAAGAGTTACACTCCAACAGGGTCAAGTTAAACCTGTGAGATTCTTTCAAGTTCAAGACAAAAAATTTAAAAAACTCATGTCGGTAACGGAGGGAATGAAATATGCAGCACTTTTTGGTCAATAAATCCAAACAGTGATAACTCTTGGTTCTCACTTCCATATCCTTAACAAACTGGTTTGAATATTTGCTTCATATAGTTTTCTACCATATGGTACAAGATTAGGTTGAAAAACCTCTGACTTTTTGACTCATGAGATTTTTTATTAAGAAAGTTCATGGTAACGGAGGGAAAAGTGACGGAGGGAAAATTGTACAAACAAGTAGAAGGTGCAGGATTTTACATCATTTGTCGCTTTTTTCTTCTGAAAACTTTAATATTACTTCAAAATGAAAGAAACTATTTCTATAAAATATGTCAGTCCTTCCAAGAACATTTTTATCATTTTAAATACTTTTTTTTTTTTTTTTTTAATCCTGTCCCTTCATCAACAGTTCAAAGATGGAATAACACAAGATATGATGAAATACAAACATTTATTTACATGATTTTTGGGTCTTTGAAATTTGGGAAATAATTTTTGTTCCATGTTTCATTCATGGTCTGTTTAAAACGGATGGAACTTTAGAACCAAAAATGTTACAGAAAAAAGGTCAACAGTTTGATAAACTCGAGTACATATGTATCTGTTCAATACATTTTTATATCAGATGAATTCACTTGAAGTTTTGGCCTTGTTGTTTACTTCTGCTGGACCGGGCCCTTTGCAGCTGATGTTGATCAATATTCCCTGGGGATGTGATGTTAATTGAGTAAAGTAAAATCATTTTTCATATTGGTGGTTTTTCAGATTCTAGATTTTGACTTTGAGTGAACAAAAAATACAAAGAGAAGAGAGAGAGAAGAAAAAAGAGAAGTATGTCAGTATGTTTTTTTAGTCTTTGCAGTTTGATAATAATGAGCGTTCAAAATGATTTCTGATTGGACGGTGATCGTTTCCGTCGCCCTGACCCCTGACCCCTGACCCTTGACCTTTCGTGCCCGTGTGAAGGACGTACCACGTTGGCTCCGCCCGACCACTTCCCAAAGTTCTCCATTTCTTCGACGATGTGATCACAGGCGACGTCCGAGAAGATGGGGAACCAGTAAACGTCTGGACACGGCTGTGGAGAGGAGAGGGGGTCAGAGGTCAGAGGTCAGGGGCAGGGGTCAGAGGAAGGGGGGGCAAGGGGGGGGGGCTCACCGTCTCCATCTTGTCCTTCAGAACACGGCTGTAGTTTGGGTGGAGGTATCGCTCTTCCCAGTCCTGAAACACAAACATGTCAGTCTGAAGGAGCTGTGAGCTGCGGGAGAAGGTTGAGAAGGTTCAGAGAGGTTCAGGAGGTTCAGGAGGTTCAGGAGGTTCAGGAGGTTGAGAAGATTGAGAAGGTAAGAATCATATCAGGAGTTGTGATACAAACACACGAACATACTTTTAGTGCCAAAAATCTGTTTACATTTAACTGACACAACAAAAAATCTGAAATTGCTTGAAAAGTCCAAAACTGATGGCAAAGAGTTCCAAAAATTCTTGTTTTCACCCACCACCCATCTCCCCAACACAAACATGTCCAGAAAAAAAATGGTTTAACAATAAAAACAAAAATGAAATTCTGTTATCCAGTCTGAACAGAGACTCCCAGACTTCCTTCACCCCAGACACTTCCTCCAGCTCCTCCAGTGGGACCTGAGGTGTTCCCGGTCCAGTCCAGAGACATCGTCCCTCCAGTGTGTCCTGGCTCTTCTCCTCCTCCTGGGGCACATGAACACCTCCTGAGGGACACGTCCAGGAGACATCAGAACAGACGTCCTCCCCTCAGACGCTCCTCTCCACGTGGAGGAGCAGCGGCTCTACTCCGAGCTCCTCACTCTGTCTCTGCGGAGGAAACTCATTTGTGTCTCTCGTATCGTGGATCTGGTCCTTCGGGTCATGACTAGAGGTGAGGGTGACCAGATGTTCCAAAAAATTTGGGACAGTCCTGAAATCTAAGCTGTTTATCCCAAATCTCAAATCCAGCCCTACATGTCCTGAAAATGACACTCAAACAGAATCCTGAGTAGTTATTGGGTTGAGTCGACTGCACTCAGCCCCCGACAGCTTCTAAATGGTTGCGACGTCTTAATTGTGCCTCTGAAACACTCGCCTGAAGCTGCTTCAGACACGTGTATTAAACGTTCTGTTCACAGGATGAACATTTGCCTTTGTCGCCTCCTACGTCAAAACAGGGACGAGCGTCTGACTGAAGGAGCAGACAGGACGCAGCAGCCGCAGAGTTTGAGTCGAGTGGAGAGCGGAGGAGGAACAGCGATGTGCGGTCAGGTGAGGCAGGTGAGGCAGGTGAGGCAGGTGAGGCAGGTGAGGCTCTGCCACAACCAAACTTTCCCCTGTATCATGGAGTTTAATTCACTACATTAAGTCGCACATTCTTCAGCGCAGATGCTCCAGGTTCTAGCTCCTGATTTCTTTTGTTCTTTCTTCTGTTTTGTGTGTAAACAAAATAATTTATTAAAATCTAATGTTTTAATAAGTTAACATGAGTTTTGTGTGTTTATAAAGACACAAAAAAAAAAACTCGTCCCCCGACCTGAATCTGAGCCAATCTCCTCTGGTCTCCTCCACCATAAAATGAAAAGGGAGGAGGCGGGGCTCATCATCTGCACTCTTCAATTCTACTCAGATGTTTGCGTTTAGAAGGACCTTGGCTCAGAAAAGTCTGATTTACTCCACATCTGGAGCATCTGGAAACTTACTGGAACATCACTTGTTTCTTCTGCTCCACCTGAGAGCCAAAGTAAAATATACAGATCTAACGTGAAGTAGATTGTAAAGTTGTGTATAGATTGTGAAGTTGTGTAAGTGCGGAGTGAAGCGGTGCAGGTCCTGGAGGCCTCACCACGGGGTTGTGGAAGATCTCCCACAGGTCGTTGTGCAGGTGGCTGGTCTGGTAGTTCTCTGTGGAGAGGATCCGTCCAAACGTGTGGAGGTTGGTCACGTACATGAAGATGTCCTGCAGCACACACAACCATCTTAAACTATACTGTTCTTTTATTCATTCATATACATGTTTTAAGTTTTATTTTTTGACTTTCTTCTTGCTGTGTTCTGAGTGCTCGGACTCGCTGGGTGAGACCAGCAGGGGGCGCAGTGGTACCTTGGAGCGGAGCTGTTCACAGAAGGACATGTCCGGGTCCAGTCCTGCGTCTGAGTACAGGGACACGTCCTGCAGGTCTGAGCGCAGAAGACTCCCCCTGATCAAGTAAACGCTGGAGACGTACGGGACGTTCCACACCCCCCTGGAAAACACAGAGACACGGAGACATAAAGGTTTATAAAGACACAGAGACACAGAGACACAGAGACAGAGACAGAGACACAAAAGGTTTTAAAACACACAGAGACACAGAGACACGGACACAGAGACACAGAGACACAGAGACACAGAGAGACATAAAGGTTTATAAAGACACAGAGAGAGACACAGAGACACAGAGACACAGAGACACAGAGACACAGAGAGACATAAAGAGTTTTATAAAGACACAAAGACACAGAGACACGGAGACACAGAGACACAGAGACACGGAGACATAAAGGTTTATAAAGACACAAAGACACAGAGACACGGAGACACAGAGACACAGAGACACGGAGACATAAAGGTTTATAAAGACACAAAGACACAAAGACACAGAGACACAGAGACACAGGAGACACAGAGACACAGAGACACGGAGACATAAAGGTTTATAAAGACACAGAGACACGGAGACACAGACACAGAGACACAGAGACACAGAGACACGGAGACATAAAGGTTTATAAAGACACAAAGACACGGAGACACAGAGACACGGAGACATAAAGGTTTATAAAGACACAGAGACACAGAGACAGAGACACAGAGACATAAAGGTTTATAAAGACACAAAGACACAGAGACACAGAGACACAGAGACATAAAGGTTTATAAAGACACAAAGACACAGAGACACAGAGACACGGAGACATAAAGGTTTATAAAGACACAAAGACACAGAGACACAGAGACACAGAGACAGAGACACAGAGACAGAGACACAGAGACAGAGACACGGAGACATAAAGGTTTATAAAGACACAAAGACACAGAGACACAGAGACATAAAGGTTTATAAAGACACAAAGACACAGAGACACAGAGACAGAGACACAGAGACAGAGACACGGAGACATAAAGGTTTATAAAGACATAAAGACACAGAGACACGGAGACATAAAGGTTTATAAAGACACAAAGACACAGAGACAGAGACACAGAGACATAAAGGTTTATAAAGACACAAAGACACAGAGACACGGAGACACAGAGACAGAGACATAAAGGTTTATAAAGACACAGAGACAGAGACACAGAGACATACAGATTTACAGAGTCATGCACAGAGAGACACAGACAGAGACACAGACAGAGACAGAGACACAGACAGACAGAGATTACAGAGACACACACAGGTTTCCAGAGCAGTTTTACTCTGTGCAGCTCAAACTCTGCAGGAGTCAGTCTCGCCGCAGCTGCATTTGAATCATGTGGACAGAACATGAAGGACACTTGAATAAATCAAACGTAAAGGTGCACTGTGGAACTTCTGTCGTCTCCATGGAGATGTTACGGCTTTGGCTGGATCGTTCCATAATCTGTCACAAACATCTATAAAACATGTGTTCTTACTGTGAGTGAGGAAGCCTTTAACACAGGAGGTGTGGGCAATTATTTTGTTCAATTATTTGAAAAATAATTTTAAAAATGGCCTGGGAACATCTCAGGATTATTATTCAATTATTTTGGAGGGTCGTGCCAAAATGTTTAACTCAGTTCTGCAGAATATGAACTGTATTTCTTTATAAAAACAGTAAATCTCATGGTTGTGACGCTGCTCAGACTGTGAAGAGTTTTTGTTCTGACTAAACAATGAAAAAGTGAAGCTGCTGAACAAAAAATGTCATTTCAAAAATGCCTCTAAAATAAAATCAGTGCAGGTTTAGTCCAGGCTTGAGGTAAAAATATAAAAATGTTTATTTTGTTTTTCTAAATGAACTTAAACCAAAGAGCCGTATGAGCCGTATGAGGCTCTGGACGAAGCCCAGGTCTGGTTTAACAGACCAGTGTGTCCAGTGTCCGTGACCTTGTGGCTCATGTCCCACTGTGTTGCTCAGTGACGTCTCTATGGAGACAGACTCTCTACCAGGAAAGTTCCACAGTGTCTTTAAAGCTGCATAAACACAGCGCAGGTGTTGGACTCACTGTCTGCGTCCCTGCACGATGTCCACGTAGTCCTCAGAGCGAGCGTAGTACCCGTCCACACTCAGCGCGCCCCAGAAGTTACTCCAGAGCCGCCCCACCCGGGTGATCATGGGCGCCACCACCGGGCTGAACACGGAACACACACTCGGGTTAAGACTAGTGTTCGATTTTATCTTTTATCTTTAGTTTATGTTTCTAAAGTTTCTCTCACAGGTTTTGTTCTATGAGGATCTTCAGAGTGTCTTCGTTCTTCAGCACCACGTCCACGTCCAGGTTGAAGTAATAATCACAGGAGGCGTCTTTCCTGCACACGTCTCTGGAGACACAAAAAAACAACCGTCACAATGAACATGAACATATTTAATATCATCCAGGAACATGGAACAAAGAGTTTACAGCGAAACATGAGGAAAACTCGGGTTTCAGCGACGGTGACCAAATGTTTTAAATAAAAAACTGGGCCGTCCCTGTTTGTGGTGTTTGAGGTTAATAAAAGAGTGAAACGAGTGAGGAAGTAAGGAAAACTGTTTTGCACTCGGCTCATTCATGACAAACATGAGTCAGTATCGTCACATTTTCTTTGTGTTTTTGTCGTTTTTAATCAGTTTTTCTGTATTTTACCAAAACAAATGTGAGTTTATGTTTCTCTTTACTGTTGCAGGGATTAAATTGTTCAAAAACAGAGACACTGGGACATTTCTTGTATCAAACTGGGACAAATCAGTGGTTTTGTATAAATGTGTGGGACGGGGGACGTGGGGCTGGGACTGTCCCGGGGACACAGGGACGTGTGGACACTCGCGTTTCAGCTCCACCCTGGAGTCATTTTCAGTCTAATAAAACTCATCATCGTCTGAGCTTCTCCAAACAATTCACTTTTACAACAGGATTAAAAACATCAGACTGAAAGAAGAAGAATCTGTAAATAATCACACCACAGTTTAAAACGTGATCATGTTTCATTAGGAAAGAGTCTGTCCCAGGTTTTCTTCTCTGTATTTAAGCAAAATGTCATAAAAAAACTTTTACATCAAAACTTTCTACATCTGATTATAAAGTGTTTTATTGTCCAAGAATCAAGAAGTGTGCAGTTAGCATGCTAGTCACTGTTAAAGCAAAACTTCGCTCTGGTCTCTGAGAATTATGTAAAAGCTTTTATAAACTCTTCACGGTGAAGAATTAAGATGCTCTGGATGCAGAAGAAGAAACTGTGAAACTGTTTGAATAAACTGTACCAGTAAATCAAATAAAATATAAAATATTATCTGTCAACATTTAGCACTTTACGCTTCTAAATGTCTGATGCTACTTTTCTGGCCTCAGGGTTGTTGATGTTTGGATAAAAAATACAGTAAATCAAACACGTGAGGAAGAAAAATAAGCTGGTATAAGAAGAAGGAAGAACTTCACCACTAAAACGATGATGGTTTGAGTTCAGATCTGTAAACTTGAAATAATTCTGTGTTTCACAGGTTTAAAACACGTGGTTTCTCAGCTGGACTCACATGACCGAGTCCCGAGCCGCAGCCACGTCCAGGTCCTCGTCTGGGCCCACGGTCCTGATGTTCTGGTAAAGATCTGCATGTTCCTTCAGGAAGGAGCTGACGTGACGCTCGTGATGAAGCTCCTGCCCAAGAAGAAGAAGAAGAAGATCACAGCAAAGACTCAGACTAAACCAGGACTAAACCAGGACTAAACCAGGACTAAACCAGGACTATACCAGGACTAAACCAGGTCT